TGACAACCCAGGGTTGACACAGAGGTCAGGAAGAGAGGACGTTTAGCAAGACAGTTATAGTATTAAAGTTAGGATATATTTCTGTTAGTGACTGGATAGTTTATGTACAGTTTTGTGTTAGGATAGGATAGTTCTTGTGTAGAGTATTTATGTATATGTGCTGTGAGAGAGTGGCTAACCTTGACACTCTGACCCTGCACTAAGACAGAGACTGTGACAGTTTGGTTGGGTCAGCGTGGCGATAGAAGAGAGCGTATCCTGCCGGGTTGTGGTTTGTACACCAGAAGATTGCCTGTCGCACGTACTGGGGACGGGGCGATTGTAAAGCCCGTTCAGCCAGAGGGTCCAGGCAATAGGTGGCCACACGGCGGGAAGTCAACTGTCTATGTATTACCTGTACTTCCAATAAAGATTGTCGTGTGTGCTCTGTGTGCGTTCGGGTTCAGTGTGTGTTAAAGGTTAGTCTGTCTGTCATAGGCCCAGTTACGAGCCACAGACCAGCAAGGTCACCCAGAGGTCTGTGACAGATTATGGGGCTCGTCCGTGACTGGTCAAGTCCGTTCTGTGATCGCACGGCCCTGACCTCTGTGTCAACCCTGGGTTGTCACCTCAACACGCACAACTTACGGTGTGGTACACTGACTGTACTTAATAGGGTTGTGACAAGATGAATAAATAAAGACTAGATGATGTTCATTGCTTAGTCATATTATAAGATCACATTTGAAGATTTGCAAACAAAAGGACCATTAAATGTTTCTGAAAAACAGGATGGCTTGTTCACCTCGCACCAGATATAGAGACTGAGATGAGACAGTTGTTGACAAATAAAGAGACTGAGATGAGACAGTTGTTGACAGATATAGAGACTGAGATGAGACAGTTATTGACAGATATATAGACTGAGATGAGACAGTTGTTGACAGATATAGAGACTGAGATGAGACAGTTGTTGACGGATATAGAGACTGAGATGAGACAGTTGTTGACAGATATAGAGACTGAGATGAGACAGTTGTTGACAGATAAAGAGACTGAGATGAGACAGTTGTTGACAGATATAGAGACTGAGATGAGACAGTTGTTGACAGATATAGACTAAGATGAGACAGTTATTGACAGATATAGAGACTGAGATGAGACATTTGTTGACAGATATAGAGACTGAGATAAGACACTTGTTGACAGATATAGAGACTGAGATGAGACAGTTGTTGACAGATATAGAGACTGAGATGAGACAGTTAGTTGTTTAGAGATATAGACTGAGATAAGACAGTTGTTGACAGATATAGAGACTGAGATGAGACAGTTGTTTAGAGATATAGACTGAGATAAGACAGTTGTTGACAGATACAGAGACTGAGATGAGACAGTTGTTGACATATATAGAGACTGAGATGAGACAGTTGTTGACATATATAGAGACTGAGATGAGACAGTTGTTGACAGATATAGAGACTGAGATGAGACAGTTGTTGACAGATATAGAGACTTAGTTGAGACAGTTGTTGACAGATATAGAGACTGAGAATGAGGAGACAGTTGCTGACAGAAATAAACAAAAAGACAAGGGGAAAACAGGGTCAGTGTCAATGATTGCAAAGGTTGTTATAAAGAAGTATTTAATCGACGTGTGACATCTTGAAATGTTCAGAAAAGTTTTTAAAAAAAATTGTCACCTTGTGTGACCATCAAGCTTACCCTGAGGTTTGCATGGGAGGGAAATCACGGCTTTGAGTCCACTCTGTTGACTCCACTTTGTTGTGAGTTGGTGCATGGCAGAATGTGAACCAATCAACATTAGACCGAGTTTGTGTTGTGCCAAACAGAAATCTGAGCACCGTAACTGGCAACGCTAGAATAAATGACAGAACCCTTCATATGACAAAGCTTTTAATCGGTGGCTGAAACAATTCAGAGAAACTGGTAGTGTTGAGAAAGAAAAATCTTCTGGCTGACCAAGTACATCAGAGGAAGATGTGCAACGCATAAGGCAGTCCTGCATTAGAAACTAAAATAAATCAATTGCTTATAGCAGTTTAAAATTAGTGATTCAAAAACTGCCATTCAGAATGTTCCACACGAATACTGAAGTCTCTGTGCTGACAACATTCAGCTGCTGGGTAAATTGAAACTGAGCAACAGACGAAAATTTGTGAAATAGTCTGGTTTTATGCTCAGCAGCATGGCTGAAGTTTTAACTTTCCTACAATTATAGTGATTTTCTTGTGAATGGGTGAGGTAAATGACATATCTGTCAATCTGAGGTTCACAATATGTCAATCTCAGGTTCACAGCCACCGATGAAGATTCATGAGCACTTTAGCTGGTCAGCTGAGGTGAACTTCTGGTGTGGACTGCTACTGTTGGTCCCTTCTGCTTCAGTGAAATCACAGTCATGGAACATATATACCTTGACCTGCTTCAGCTCTACTTGTTTCTGGGAACAACAGAGCACAAAACTTGAAGACTGGGAACAACAGACAGAGCACACAACTTGAAGACTGGGAACAACAGAGCATACAACTTGAAGACTGGGAACAACAAACAGAGCACACAACTTTAAGACTGGGAACAACAAACAGAGCACACAACTTTAAGACTAGGAACAACAGAGCACACAACTTGAAGACTGGGAGCAACAGAGCACACAACTTGAAGACTGGGAACAACAGAGCACACAACTTTAAGACTGGGAACAACAGAGCACACAACTTGAAGACTGGGAACAACAGAGCACACAATTTGAAGACTGGGAACAACAGAGCACCCAACCTGAAGACTGGGAACAACAGAGCACACAATTTGAAGACTGGGAACAACAGAGCACACAACTTGAAGACTGGGAACAACAGAGCACACAACTTGAAGACTGGGAACAACAGAGCACACAACTTGAAGACTGGGAACAACAGAGCACACAACTTGAAGACTGGGAACAACAGAGCACACAACTTGAAGACTGGGAACAACAGAGCACACAACTTGAAGACTGGGAACAACAGAGCACACAACTTGAAGACTGGGAACAACAGAGCACACAACTTGAAGACTGGGAACAACAGAGCACACAACTTGAAGACTGGGAACAACAGAGCACACAACTTGAAGACTGGGAACAACAGAGCACACAACTTTAAGACTGGGAACAACAGAGCACACAACTTGAAGACTGGGAACAACAAACCGAGCAGTTGAAGACTGGGAACAACAGAGCACACAACTTGAAGACTGGGAACAACAGAGCACACAACTTTAAGACTGGGAACAACAGAGCACACAATTTGAAGACTGGGAACAACAAACCGAGCAGTTGAAGACTGGGAACAACAGAGCACACAACTTGAAGACTGGGAACAACAGAGCACACAACTTGAAGACTAGGAACAACAAACCGAGCAGTTGAAGACTGGGAACAACAGAGCACACAACTTGAAGACTGGGAACAACAAACCGAGCAGTTGAAGACTGGGAACAACAGAGCACACAACTTGAAGACTGGGAACAACAAACAGAGCAGTTGAAGACTGGGAACAACAGAGCACACAACTTGAAGACTGGGAACAACAAACAGAGCATTTGAAGACTGGGAACAACAGAGCACACAACTTTAAGACTGGGAGCAACAAACCGAGCAGTTGAAGACTGGGAACAACAGAGCACACAACTTGTAGACTGGGAACAACAAACCGAGCAGTTGAAGACTGGGAACAACAGAGCACACAACTTGAAGACTGGGAACAACAAACAGAGCAGAGTTCTTTTTTGTGCAGGATGGAGCTGCTCCTCATTTTAGTTGCATTGTTGCGACCTTAAACGCACAATCCTATTTTTGACCCAGACGGGACTCAATGTGTAGCATGACTGATGTTGAACGCAGAAGAAGAAAGAAGAAGAAGTTGCATTGTTGGTGGTGTCTTAAATCAAAGGTTCACAAATGCTTGGATTGTTCGTGATGTCCTAAATCAAAGGTTCCCAAATGCTTGGATTGTTGGTGATGTCTTAAATCAAAGGTTCCCAAATGCTTGGATCGTTGGTGATGTCTTAAATCAAAGGTTCCCAAATGCTTGGATCGTTGGTGATGTCTTAAATCAGAGGTTCCCAAATGCTTGGATTGGAAGGGCCGGACCAGTACCCTGGCCATCTCAAAGCCCAGACCTAGCATCCACTAGATTTGTTTTCCTGTGGGGATACATTAAAAGCATAGTGTACACTGAAAAGATCTGGAACATCAGCTCTTGAAAGAGAGGCTCGCTGCAGCTTTTGCAGCTGTAGCTCTAGACATTATTCAGACAACAGGACAGGAGATTGAAAACTGTCTTAACAACACACAGTAGGTAAAATGTTTTTAGCCGTATCAAAGTATACTAAGGTAAGTCTAAAATTTATACTTTTCTGAACATTTTAAGATGCCTCACATGCATGTTCATTAAATACTTCTTTGATGATAAGTGTTTAAAATCCTGGCCATCATTCTCAGTGTAATATCAGCTCCATGTTATAAAAGCCATACTAGAGGGAACAGTCAAAGGTACCTGAATCAGTACAAAAGAAAGAGAAGAAGAAGCTGAATGGATTAATATTTAAATAGAAAAACACACACATAGCTAAATTGGTAATTGCTAAATAGGTGAATATCTGAACAGGTAATTAGTCAAGTAGGAGAAAAGCTGAATATATAATAAAGCCAAACATAAATAGCACAGAAGGTCAGTAGCTCTACAGAAATAAACTATAAATTGTTTCAATGGTTTAACAGGTAATTAGCTAAATGAGCAAATAAAGAAATGGGCAAATAAATATGTAAAAGAAGAAATAGTTAAATGGGTAATTAGCTCAATAGATAATCTGTTTAAAAAAAAACTGAGAAAATCTGTGCAGATAATTTGTTTAAACAAACTGAAAACATATGTGCAGATCCATGAGAATTCTGAAGATCTTTGTGAACACTATGTATGATTGTACCTGCCTGATGCAGAAGTCATGTTGTGTTACAGGTTGCTGCTTTGTTGACCTTACCCTTTGATGTTATCAAAACTCGGAGACAGATTGAGCTCGGTGAAGAGATCATAGGTCAGTATTGAAGTGTAACCCTCAGCTAAAGCATTAAAAAAAAATATTTGTGTGTGTGCGTGCGTTACACAGGTAGTTATTTGTTGACCTGACCCATTGTTACACAGGTAGTTATTGGTTGACCTGACCCAATTTTATACAGGTAGTCATTGGTTGACCTGACCCATCGTTATACAGGTAGTCATTGGTTGACCTGATCCATCATTATACAGGTAGTCATTGGTTGACTTGACCCATTGTTACAAAGGTAGTCATTGGTTGATCTGACCCATTGTTACACAGGTAGTCATTGGTTGACCTGACGTTCCATACTCTCACTACATCAGTGAAGATATCATATTAGTATTCTTTGGTTCTGTCCTCCACCATCTTGTAATATTCTAACACACACAAATCAGCATCCTCACTGAGCTACAGAGTTGAAATACTCAGCTGGGATTTTCCCTAAATGACATAAGAAGATGAGGTCTTATGGTCTCTAATGATAGTTTTCATTACAGTTCTTAAGTCTAGCTAGTAAATGAATCAGTACCGTTGTAGAAGTAAAGGTCCTTGTCGCCAAACTCAGTACCAGGTGTTGCAGCAGAGATGGCAAGCCTGTTGTTGTTGACCAGGTGTTGCAGCAGAGATGGCAAGCCTGTTGTTATTGACCAGGTGTTCCAGTAGAGATGGCAAGCCTGTTGTTGTTGACCAGGTGTTCCAGTAAAGATGGCAAGCCTGTTGTTGTTGACCAGGTGTTCCAGCAGAGATGACAAGCCTGTTGTTATTGACCAGGTGTTCCAGCAGAGATGGCAAGCCTGTTCTTGTTGACCAGGTGTTCCAGCAGAGATGGCAAGCCTGTTGTTGTTGACCAGGTGTTCCAGCAGAAATTGCAAGCCTGTTGTTGTTGACCAGGTGTTCCAGCAGAGATGACAAGCCTGTTGTTATTGACCAGGTGTTCCAGCAGAGATGGCAAGCCTGTTGTTGTTGACCAGGTGTTCCAGCAGAGATGGCAAGCCTGTTGTTGTTGACCAGGTGTTCCAGCAGAGATGGCAAGCCTGTTGTTGTTGACCAGGTGTTGCAGCAGAGATGGCAAGCCTGTTGTTATTGATCAGGTGTTCCAGTAGAGATGGCAAGCCTGTTGTTATTGACCAGGTTTTCCAGTAAAGATGGCAAGCCTGTTGTTGTTGACCAGGTGTTCCAGCAGAGATGGCAAGCCTGTTGTTATTGACCAGGTGTTCCAGCAGAGATGGCAAGCCTGTTGTTATTGACCAGGTGTTCCAGCAGAGATGGCAAGCCTGTTCTTGTTGACCAGGTGTTCCAGCAGAGATGGCAAGCCTGTTGTTGTTGACCAGGTGTTCCAGCAAAGATGGCAAGTCTGTTGTTGTTGACCAGGTGTTCCAGCAGAGATGGCAAGCCTGTTGTTATTGACCAGGTGTTCCAGCAGAGATGGCAAGCCTGTTGTTATTGACCAGGTGTTCCAGCAGAGATGGCAAGCCTGTTCTTGTTGACCAGGTGTTGCAGCAGAGATGGCAAGCCTGTTGTTGTTGACCAGGTGTTCCAGCAGAGATGACAAGCCTGTTGTTGTTGACCAGGTGTTGCAGCAGAAATGGCAAGCCTGTTGTTGTTGACCAGGTGTTGCAGCAGAGATGGCAAGCCTGTTGTTGTTGACCAGGTGTTGCATCAGAGATGGCAAGCCTGTTGTTGTTGACCAGGTGTTCTAGCAGAGATGGCAAGCCTGTTGTTGTTGACCAGGTGTTCCAGTAGAGATGGCAAGCCTGTTGTTGTTGAAATCAGTAACCAAATAATCCTGAAGTAACCCATTGTTTGTATCTTGGTTGGGACATCTGTTGAATTTTTCAGTGATGTTTGTGTCCAATTCACTGCAGGTACCCATCTTTTCATGAATCTATTTCATTTGCCAAAATCATCTTTCATTGTCCTGCAGGTGAACTACGATATGTCAGAGGCTAGTGAAGCACCTGCATAGTTAGATTCACTCAACAGTAGATTTGCTGAAACTGCATTGCTCATTATTGATGTGTGGTGACATTGAATTCCTTTATCATAGTGTTTATATTTATAAAAAGCTGACATTGGCCAGCACTGGCTCTTAATAATGACACATAATACTTGAATTCAGTCTTTTCCATAATTTTTTTTTCAGGAAAGTTGAAAGGATCCACTTCAACTTGGAAAATTATCCGGAACATTTACTCAACAGAGGGCTTCCGAGCATTGTTTGCAGGTAACGGACATTGCCACTTCTTGGGCCTGCTCAGGTCTTTGCTTCACTGGTTGACAGTTTGTTTAGATCTGGCTCTACATGTCACCTTAATCTTTTATCTTTGGTTTATCTTTTATCTTTGTCATGTACGTTTTGTGTCTTTATCTTAGTGTGAACAGGGGAACCTGCTCAGGTCTTTGTTTCACTGGTTGACAGTTTGTTTAGATCTGGCTCTACACGTCACCTTAATCTTTTATCTTTGGTTTATCTTTTATCTTTGGTTTATCTTTTATCTTTGGTTTATCTTTTATCTTTGGTTTATCTTTTATCTTTGGCATGTATGTTTTGTGTCTTTATCTTAATGTGAACATGGGAACCATGGCTGACCATAAGCTGCTAGACCAGGAGAGTAATGCTTCATGCATATAGTTGTATTAGTTCTGTTTATTCTGTCTTAGTTCCTTTGTATTATTGTTGTCATTTGCATACTTCTAATAATTGATGACATTCTTATCATTATCATAATTTTTATTGTGGTGGGTGATTTTGGTCCCAGGCATGAGGGAAAATTAGCGGCGTCCGTGGCTAAGGCATTGCGAGTCCGACTCGTAAGCCAGCATACCGCGATCGAAACCCACTGCAGGCTGCGTGGATTTGTGTCGTGGTATGGGACGTCGCAGGTCGACCCAGCCTAAAATTGGTACCAGGATGGGCTGTCCAGGGAAAGTAAAGACAGCCAGCGTAATGATGACCACATTACCCACCGAGTGCTGATGGTCTGTAAAAATTTGGGACGCTCTGCCCATATGCCCGATGCGCTGAAAGGCGTGAAAAGGGATCTTTACTTTACTTTTACTTATGAGGGAAAATTAAGGCTGTTAGGCTATGTATAAGAGTATACCCTATATCTTACCTGGGGTGCCAGCAGGCTCTGTGATGGTTTTACAGAACCTTTTGTAAGACTCCTGCTGTACATTCACTTCATACATCATGGATAATAGTCTGTCTATATCTGCCTAAACGGGGCTGGCGGGGAATCTCAAAGTTGATGGTCCTAGAGATGCAGTGTCCAGGAAACCTCTGGCACTCATCAGCCCACCCCAGTGAATGGGTGCTAACATCTATGGAAAACTCACAAAGTCAAGTCCATTGATCAAGTTTCCAACTAAAAGACACATTTGAGTTCAAACGTCTGTTGACCAAGAGTCCCTTAACCCTTTAAATGGTGACTTCTTTTAGATGTCCATGAATCAAGTGTCCTACTAAATAATAACTTACATTGAAATGTCTGGCCACAGTTGACCTACTAAATGATAACTTACATTGAAATGTCTGGCCACAGTTGACCTACTAAATGATAACTTACATTGAAATGTCTGGCCACAGTTGACCTACTAAATGATAACTTACATTGAAAGGTCTGGCCACAGTTGACCTACTAAATGATAACTTACATTGAAAGGTCTGGCCACAGTTGACCTACTAAATGATAACTTACATTGAAATGTCTGGCCACAGTTGACCTACTAAATGATAACTTACATTGAAATGTCTGGCCACAGTTGACCTACTAAATGATAACTTACATTGAAAGGTCTGGCCACAGTTGACCTACTAAATGATAACTTACATTGAAATGTCTGGCCACAGTTGACCTACTAAATGATAACTTACATTGAAATGTCTGGCCACAGTTGACCTACTAAATGATAACTTACATTGAAATGTCTGGCCACAGTTGACCTACTAAATGATAACTTACATTGAAAGGTCTGGCCACAGTTGACCTACTAAATGATAACTTACATTGAAAGGTCTGGCCACAGTTGACCTACTAAATGATAACTTACATTGAAAGGTCTGGCCACAGTTGACCTACTAAATGATAACTTACATTGAAAGGTCTGGCCACAGTTGACCTACTAAATGATAACTTACGTGGAAATGTCTGGCCACAGTTGGCCTACTAAATGATAACTTACATTGAAAGGTCTGGCCACAGTTGACCTACTAAATGATAACTTACGTGGAAATGTCTGGCCACAGTTGACCTACTGAATGATAACTTACGTTGAAATGTCTGGCCACAGTTGACCTAATAAATGACAACTTACATTGAAAGGTCTGGCCACAATTTGGCCACAATTGACCTACTAAATGACAAATTACGTTGAAATGTCTGGCCACAATCGACGTACTAAATAACAGCCAATGTTCAGATGTTTTTGGTGTAAAGATCCAACATGATGACCAATATGATGATACAAAAGGTTTATATGTCTGCTACCATTGGCCACATTTGTCAGAACTTAAAGGGGAAACTATGCCAGATGCAAGCTTTCCATGTATGACCTTGTCAAGTTCCATGAGGCATTGACATAAAAGGTGACTTAGGTTATGAGAGGACTTTTGACCTGCTGCGGTTGCAAGATACAAAATTGTGTCTAGGCCACCAAAGTCTTGGATTCGCAGTCTGCTTCCTGAGGATCCCTTAAGAATGATAAGTGGGAGGCTTAGTGTACGAGCTTGCCATTGCAGGATTGTAATGAGTTTCCAAGATTGCAATATTGAGGGCAACAATCTGGCTGTCAGCCCATGCTTGGTCAAGTTAACAATTGATGACTGTGGCATGAATGGCTTCCATGTGTGCAGCCCTGGTTTTATTAGGTTTATTGTTGCCAAGTTTTTAGAATATCAGCACAGTTATTGTTGAGCCTGTTGTCCAGTGGTCATTTGTTGAGCCTGTTGTCCAGTTGCATGCACGGACGTGCGTGAGAGCACACACACACACACACACACAATGTCACTGGTGACAAGCTTTCGTATGCTTGTACACACAGTTGTGATAAAACATTTGTACTTACCTCACAGGTTTGCCCCCAAGGTTACTGAAGGTTGCTCCAAGTTGTGCTATCATGATCAGCACTTTTGAATATTTCAAGCGACTCTTTGCATCCCACAACAGTAGATCAGAACCAGTTGATGACCGGTATGCTCATACAACTGGCACAGGTGCATTTTTGATACCGCTGAATGCCAGCAAGCCTGAACTGCCCATTTCGCTTGTGTCCTCAACAGTTGCCTCACCACCGTTGCCTACCACAGAACCATCACCGGCAGATGTGTTGTCCACAACTTTGAGCAAAGCTAATTAAACTTTAGAAATCTTGCGTGTTAAATTAAATTCAGGATCAAGCATGATAATACATTCTATCATTGTTACTATGATTTTTTTTCATCAATGTTTCAGCAAATTTAAATCAGTGATATAGTGGATCTTTGTGTTTACGTTTAAAATCAAATTCAGGCCAGCTTTGTATACATTTGTTATCCATAACTTGGGATAACAGTGGCAGTGGAAACTGAATTAATATGGAGACTTTTTGCTGGCTGTTGAGGAGGAAGACTGAGCTAATATGTGCTTGTCCTGAGTACTGTGATGTCATATGTTTGCCATGATGACTCAGATGTTACATGCACAATATATATATTGACCTTGACCTCTGAGGTTACTGGTTAACATCTCCCCCAGGTGTCATAAATACGACAACTACTGGGTCATCTGCTTCTCTGCCTTGACCTGTTGAACCTTTTCTGGGACCAGTGGGGCAATGGGTAGTTGTTGTTTATTGTGTTTCGGTGTCGTGGTACAAGTAAATTCATGAATGTAGAATTGACTAGTTGATATATAGGTCATTGTGCTTCAGTGTGGTTTAATTCCTCACATTCTGTACTCAACCTGAGATGGTGTCAGTGGAGTTCTGTCTAGATTGAATTCACATAGTTATGTAACACACATTCTGGTGTAGTAGTGGATCAACCAGCACAATAAGTTTGAAGCTGCAGCCTGGCTTGCCTCATGTCTCACTGTGCCTGCAACTTTGCACATAAATATCAGTTAGAATGCTATCGGTACAGACAACACTTCATTGCATGTCAGCTGAACTAAAACACATCTTGCTTCATATGTTCTAGGTGTTGGACAAGAGCAATTTTGTGTGTGTGGTGTTTTCTGTGTTTAGGACAGTCCTGCAATATGTGGGTAGCTGTTATATTGTTTAGGACGGTCCTGCAGTATGTGGGTAGCTGTTATATTGTTTAAGACAGTCCTGCAGTATGTGGGTGGCTGTTATATTGTTTAGGACAGTCATGCAGTATGTGGGTAGCTGTTATATTGTTTAGGACAGTCCTGCAGTATGTGGGTAGCTGTTATATTGTTTAGGACAGTCATGCAGTATGTGGGTAGCTGTTATATTATTTAGGACAGTCATGCAGGATGTTGGTAGCTGTTATATTGTTTAGGACAGTCCTGCAGTTTGTGGATAGCTGTTATATTGTTTAGGACAGTCATGCAGTATGTGGGTAGCTGTTATATTGTTTAGGACAGTCCTGCAGTATGTGGGTGGCTGTTATATTGTTTAGGACAGTCATGCAGTATGTGGGTAGCTGTTATATTGTTTAGGACAGTCCTGCAGTATGTGGGTGGCTGTTATATTGTTTAGGACAGTCCTGCAGTATGTGGGTAGCTGTTATTTTGTTTATTCCAAGAGCACTGGTTGAAGTCTGTGTATTATTTATTCTCTTCTGTGAAGGTCAGAGTTCAAATTCAAATGATACTTCTTTCAGCTAAATATTCTTCTTTTCAATCCCCACCCCCTCCCCTCCTCCTTTGTCATTGACAAATAGTTTAAACATACAAAATAAATTTGTAATTGATTTAGAGTCTGAATCAACCAAAGTATCGATCACCTGTCGGACTTTTAAAAACCTACACCTTCTTCGTTTCCTGTTGAAGTGCTTAGTTCATTAGCTGCTCGTTTAATTGTGAATGTTTTTTTATTCTTCATCACTTTCACCGGCTGTAAACTCTGGCAGAAATTTCTGGTTGTTCCTCTACTTCTGGACTCCAATCCTCTTCCGGAAAACTGAGTGTTGCGTGCACATCCATTTTAGAGGTCTGACTCATTTGCATGCAGACTGTTGGATCCTTGTCTCTCAGGCAGATGTACTCTGACTTCGAAGGGAGCTCCAAATTAGGCAATTCTTACAACATGCTTTTAGGCAGACATTGGGTCTATTCTTGTTTTCCCTCACAATGGGGCCCCAGAATCCACACAGGGAATTGTGAATTTTTATAATTGTTTCACCATAAACCACACATGAGTGTGGACATTTACAATGGCTAACCATAAGGTTTGACCACGATTGGTTGGTTATTTTTAGTTGAAAATTAGGTACAGCGGTATAACGGCAGATTTGGAAATTACCGACAAATTGGTAGAGGGAGTTTATGGGGTTAATGATGAGGAATAATCTTTGTTTGTATAGAAAAGCAGAAATAAGGCACTTGATACTAATTTATGAATTGGAACAATTACTCAGTACTCAATTACAGTTCTTATTTGTACTTCTTCTTCCATCATATTTGTCAATGTGTTTATAAATCAGTGTACTTGTTGAGTTACATTCCATCACACAGGGTAACCAAAGTGCTTTTCAGTCACAAGCATTCATGAGGTTTCATTGTCCGCAAGTATATAATTAGTATACAACGACTGGCGAAAAGGTTAAGAGCACTAGATTTCATGCGGAAGACTCAGGTTTGAATCCTTATTAAGGTTATGGGTTTTCCTGTTGAAAAATAAAATCCTGACCTGCAAAGTCTGTGGCTACGTCAGTAGCCATGCAGCCCTAAATCTTCAGACTCAAAGGCTCCCCCATGCCTACACTACGTCAGTAGCCATGCAGCCCTAAATCTTCAGACTCAAAGGCTCCCCCATGCCTACACTACGTCAGTAGCCATGCAGCCCTAAATCTTCAGACTCAAAGGCTCTCCCATGCCTACACTACGTCAGTAGCCATGCAGCCCTAAATCCTGAGGCTCAAAGGCTCCCCCATGCCTACACTACGTCAGTAGCCATGCAGTCCTAAATCTTCAGACTCAAAGGCTCCCCCATGCCTACACTACGTCAGTAGCCATACAGCCCTAAATCCTCAGACTCAAAGGCTCCCCCATGCCTACACTACGTCAGTAGCCATGCAGCCCTAAATCCTGAAGCTCAAAGACTCCCCCATGCCTACACTACGTCAGTAGCCATGCAGCCCTAAATCTTCAGACTCAAAGACTCCCCCATGCCTACACCACGTCAGTAGCCATGCAGCCCTAAATCTTCAGACTCAAAGGCTCCCCCATGCCTACACCACGTCAGTAGCCATGCAGCCCTAAATCTTCAGACTCAAAGGCTCCCCCATGCCTACACTACGTCAGTAGCCATGCAGCCCTAAATCTTCAGACTCAAAGGCTCCCCCATGCCTACACTACGTCAGTAGCCATGCAGCCCTAAATCTTCAGACTCAAAGACTCCCCCATGCCTACACTACGTCAGTAGCCATGCAGCCCTAAATCTTCAGACTCAAAGACCCCCCCATGCCTACACTACGTCAGTAGCCATGCAGCCCTAAATCCTCAGACTCAAAGGCTCCCCCATGCCTACACTACGTCAGTAGCCATGCAGCCCTAAATCCTCAGACTCAAAGGCTCCCCCATGCCTACACTACGTCAGTAGCCATGCAGCCCTAAATCTTCAGACTCAAAGACTCCCCCATGCCTACACTACGTCAGTAGCCATGCAGCCCTAAATCCTCAGACTCAAACCCTCCCCCATGCCTACACTACGTCAGTAGGCATGCAGCCCTAAATCTTCATACTCAAAGGCTCCCCCATGCCTACACTACGTCAGTAGCCATGCAGCCCTAAATCTTCAGACTCAAAGGTTCCCCCATGCCTACGCTACGTCAGTAGCCATGCAGTCCTAAATCTTTAGGCTCAAAGGCTCCCCCATGCCTACACTACAAAAATAGTAAATAAAAAGCAGTTTTGGCAGAACCTGTAATAGCATTATTATGAAAATAATATGCATGAATCATTTTGCTATTTGACAAATGCTGTACCACGCGTTGCTTATATGTAGCAAACCTGAAACTGCTACATATTTTGTTTAGTCTTTCTGTGATAAAGTTGTCACAGACAGACAGACAGACTGGTTTGGTAAATGTGTTTGAATATAAAATTGGATTATCCCTCCTAATATATCATACCTCACATGTTTGGAAGCAATAATTGTTGCATCATATGCATATCTGTATACTTATGTCGCCTGTGTGTCTTTTACATTGATACACTTTATTTGCCAATTTAGTAAAAATAAAGGAAAGAACAAAACACACATCATCCTCTAGTTTAGATAAAGCTGCTTGAGTCACTCAAAGAGAAAGTTTGGTCGCAGTCTGCACATTTGTTGACATAAAGAGCAGTTTGATCTCATAGTTTCCTGCTAGCAGCTCACTGAGCTCATCAAGCTGTGTTTCCAGGATCAGGATCTTGTTAGAGACTTCTGAATTAGTTGTGGTGAAGAACAACAAAGCAGCAGCCCTGGAAACTGTGTAGCTTTCAGACCAGCTAACCTGGAAACTAGCTTTCAGACCAGCTAACCTGGAATCTGTGTAGCTTTCAGACCAGCTAACCTGGAAACTGTGAAGCTTTCAGACCAGCTAACCTGGAAACTGTGTAGCTTTCAGACCAGCTAGCCTGGAAACTGTGTAGCTTTCAGACCAGCTAGCCTGGAAACTGTGTAGCTTTCAGACCAGCTAGCCTGGAAACTGTGTAGCTTTCAGACCAGCTAACCTGGAAACTGTGTAGCTTTCAGACCAGCTAGCCTGGAAACTGTGTAGCTTTCAGACCAGCTAACCTGGAAACTGTGTAGCTTTCAGACCAGCTAACCTGGAAACTGTGTAGCTTTCAGATCAGCTAACCTGGAAACTGTGTAGCTTTCAGACCAGCTAACCTGGAAACTGTGTAGCTTTCAGATCAGCTAACCTGGAAACTGTGTAGCTTTCAGACCAGCTATATGGTCAAAGTAGCATTTCACCACCCAACTTTTGCCACAGTAAAAACTGTCCATTTGTTTCTAATGTAGATTTGAAGCATTTTATGTTTTCGTTTCACCGCTTATGTCACCCTGTAGATAAAGTCTCTAGTAGATTCACCTAACCTCATACAGGTTAATTAGGTCTCTAGTAGATTCACCTAGCCTCATACAGGTTAATTAGGTCTCTAGTAGATTCACCTAACCTCATACAGGTTAATTAGGTCTCT